ACTTTTTTTTTTTTGAAAATGAGGCCCATTCCTACCTGGATAGCTACGGCAACAAGCAATATTGTTGAGTCTATCCAAAAAAGCTCGTTTGTTTCAAAAGGAACTACGTGAACTAGAGCAAGAAGGAACGATTGGAGCCAAGGGAACCAGATGAACGAAAGAACCGGATTTAGAGCAAGAAGGAACGATTGGAGCCAAGGGAACCAGATGAACGAAAGAACCGGATCTAGTTCCTTTTGCGGAATAGTTCCTTTCAGCAAGTTTACAACGGTCTTAAAATTGTTGTGGATTTCTTTTGTAATGGATAGAGAATTTAGTTCAACGGGGATCTATTTAGTATAGATATAGTATAGATTTTCTTGTAGAACTATGTCTAGACCATTAGTTCCTTTTGTTTGTTTCTTTTATTTTTTTTCAATTTCTTTTGCAGCCACATCTCGTCTCAGTGCAATGTGAACAAAATATAGCAATGAAACAGGGAGAAAAAGAGAAATAGAGTAAGGAACTAGTTCCCTTAGAGTCTAAACAGAACCAGAGAATCTAGAGTCAGCGACGGTCGTTTACCGTGTGTTTCTCATTCGGAAACAGGAAATCCCGAAGGCTGACGTTCGCGTTTAGCGACTTGACGCTAGAATAGATTTTATTCATTTTTGCTCAGCGTCATACTCAAATATTTTCTCTTGCTCTTTAAAAAAATTGAAAACAAATAATTAACATTTTTGCCGCTAACTCTTTCGTTTGGTTTTCACGCCGGCGAAAAAGTATACCGCTGACTCCTGTTTCTCTGGTTGTGTTTAGGGTTTTACTCTCTCCATTCGCTCCCTGAATTAGATTGTCCAATTCCAACTATAACATTTCCAAGACGTCTCTTCAAATCAACGAAAATATAAAATTAACGACGAGTGAGATTCAAATGAACTATCTGAAGTCGGAACTAGTGGCATTCAAATGAACTATCTAGCAATCGGAACTATAGTAAAGAACTAGTTTTTTTAATTAAACGAGAAAAAAGCTATCTGCTCCTACCTAAATAATTTCCAAGAGATCTTCTGATTTAATGGGTCCTATGATATTAAAAGCTATCGAAATGGTAGCTGACAATTTACCCTACCATAGTTTCATAGCTAATTAATGAAATAAATCCTAGTGATCTGTTGATCACTAGATATCCCTTGTTACTTTATCAACTGACTTATCCTTCTCCTTTTACATCTTTTGGAGTCTATGAGTTAGTCTGCTTCATCATTTAATTATTTTTATACCAATTCTGAGGTGGGAACTAATGGAATCCGAAATGATAACCGACCCTTCAGCCAATCATACTAATTATTTGTTAGCTATCTAGGAATCGGAACTATAAGGAACTAGTTCTTATTTTAGAAGAGGAACGAGAAAAATATATCAGCTCATACTTAGATAATTTCCAAGAGATCTTCTGGTTTAAAGGGTCCCAAAATATTAAACGCCCTGACCCTTTACCCTACCATACTGATTACTACAGTCTGCATTATTGAATTAAATGCCCACTACACTAGAATATCTGTTCACTCGAGATCCCTTGTTACTTTATCAGCTGATTTTTCTTTCTCCTTTTACATCTCTTGGAGGCTAGGGTTTGAATTAACATGGCAATATCGGAATTTTGTGAAAGATGAACGAGAGAAATTCAAATGAAATATATTGGAGTCGGAACTACATTAAGGAACTAGTTCCTTTCTACAAACAAATGAGAAAAATCGATCTATGAACGGAATTGTCCAATTCTAATTGGAACATTTCCACAACATCTCTTTCTTCTGATTCACTAGGATTTAAATAAACAAGAAGCTATCGGAACAATGTTAAGGAAATAACAAAAAGAACGATGGAAGGTAGAAAGATTCAAATGAACTACGAAAGGATCGGAACTTCATTAAAAATCTAGTTTTTTCTACAAAAAAATGGCGAGAAAAAATCGATCCGGTCATGAACTACATTGCGTTTTAAACTGATCTCTTCTAGTAGGTTCACCAAACTATTAAAGGTCCTCGAATAACCTCGAGAAAAATCGATCCTCGATTCTTGTTGGTTCACCAGAGTTTCTCAAACTATTAAAAGTCCTCGAATAATCAATGTAAGCTTATTAGTTCACTATCGTCGCCACTATGTTTTTTCTGTTAATCCTCTTGGAAGCATAGAACTTCCACAAAACAAAGCATCTTACACGATTAGTACTTAATAATCAAGATTCCTTAATGATTTCCATGTTTTTATGTTGATGATTGGTCTGCTGTAGCCTATCCTAGGTATTGGGGCTGCCATCTATCGTAACGTTTTGTGCAGTGGTTGAAGTGTTTGCTTATTTTGTGTTCCCAATTTCCTCTTGGAGACGCTATCTCCTGCCATTTTTTGTTATTCTTATGGCAGATGGCTTCGGATATATTTATCAGCCGATTAAACATTTAAAATTGATAAAGAAAAACTAGAGAACTTAGTAGAGAATGAATTATGTCAATAATGATTCGTCTAGTTTAGCCTGTCCAAAAGGATGAGCTTGCCATCTATCGTTGAATCCTTGAATTTTGCGCAGTGGATTAAGTCCTAGCTTATTTAGTGTTGACATTTTCTTCTGGGTGGCGTTATCATCATGTGTAGGGTCGGATATATTTATCAGCTGATTAAAAATTCTAGATAACCAATTATTTCAATGATGATTGGTCTAGTGTAGCCCGTCCAAAATGATGAGATTGCCATCTGTTGTTGAATAGAAACAACGCATCCGCGAACTATGTGCAGTGATTGGAGTCTTTGCTTATTTAGTGTTGCCATTTCCTTTTATCACCTTATAGATGATTCATTGCATAATTTCCTAGAATATCGGCAATCCCACTATCTCGTACTTCATTAAAGTGTTTTCCATTATTCTATTTATTTACTTTGGGATTATTTTTTACAACTAATCCGCATATGTTCGATTACAAGTACCATGCTTACAAAACAGCAAATGAATTGTGTACATTTTTTTGCTCCGCAAATATTTATAGAGAAAAACATTGAACAAATCGAATATTTATTAGATAAACAAATAACTAACAATTTGATAAGGATCTACGTATTTGGATGTAAATGTCAGGTGTAATAAAATGTAACAACCTGCCTACCTATGTTTTCTATCATCAAATGGCGGTCAATATATTTGTGATATTGACAAATAAATGTTATTGTGATAAGAGGGTGATGATGAAATCGAAATAAAAAATTTATTAGACACCCTATAAGGAAGCCCTACCTCATACGTTACCCTGTATTCGGTAACGATTCCATTTAAATTATAAAGGATCTGTCATACGATGTATGGAATTTCAAAAATTTTGCACTTGAAATTGAGCATGTCATCGAGTAGTGTACATGCACCGTACCCGATGTTAAGTTTATATAGGTTCTGAGAGCACCTTCAATGAAGTGTGCAACAAATAAATGAAAATAACATTACATATCCCCGGCAATAACAACCATTATCTATCACAGGGGATCATAAATATGAATATCGGGTATTAGTGGTAATTAAAAGAAAAGCCCCTATACAAATAATGACAACTCGATGCAGAGGCGCATAAGGTTTTGTAGTAAATAAAGGGGAGACTAAATTCCTATAAAAAGTTTAGGAATTACATTTCGATTACTGCGAACCTAGTTCACAAAGAACACTGAGCGATCTAGGGATCCCTAGTGATTTAGACCAAGGAGTTGATCTATGAAAAATAATTTGAGCAGACGTAGAGAATGGCGCCCAATTGGAAAGTTTGAAGGAACTGATAAATTTAATTGGCAATTAATTTGGGAAAGTTATCATGAACAGATTTGGTTGAGCAGAGGTAGAGAATGGCGCCCAATTGGAAATTTTGAAGGAACTAAAGAATTTAATTGACAAAGCTAATATGAAACCGCCAGGGAGCCTTAGGAAGTAATATGCGTTACTGATCTTGTGACCCTTGAACACTGAGTTATCATGAACAGATTTGGTTGAGCACAGGAGAGAATGGCGCCCAATTGGAAATTTTGAAGGAACTAAAGAATTTAATTGACAAAGCTAATATGAAACCGCCAGGGAGCCTTAGGAAATAATATGCGTTATTGAACCCTGGAGGTTCCAGGGAGCCTTAGGAAGTAATATGCGTTACTGATCTTGTGACCCTTGAACACTGAGCGATCTAGGCATCCCTAGAGAATTAGCCCAGAGAATTTATATTTAGGAAAACCCGAATAATGTCCTTCCAGAAAATGTTCCCAAAACGCACGATGACCAGTAAGTTCGGACCAAGTAATGTAAATAATTTTGATTTAGTTCGTGATGATTCTTAAATATTATTTTAGCGTATCTACAACAGTTTCCCTAAAGAATTTAGGAGTTCTAAGGTAATCAGTAGGTCTTAGAAACATAATATGAGCCCAGGTGGAGAATGGCGCCCAATTGGAAATTTTGAAGGAACTGAAGAATTTAATTGGCTAATAATTTAGGGAAGTTTGCATGAAAAGATTTGGTTGAGCAGAAGTAGAGAATGGCGCCCAATTGGAAATTTTGAAGGAACTAAAGAATTTAATTGGCAATGCAAATATGGAACCGCCAGGGGGCCTTAGAATATAAAATGCGTTATTGAACCCAGGAGGTTCCAGGAAGTCTTAGGAAATAATATGCATTATTGATCTTGTGGTTCTTGAACACTGAGCGATCTATGAATCCCTAGAGAATTAGAGTCCTCTAAAAATTCGCCTTCCCCCATTGCAAATATTTTCACAACCACGCCATTGGCTTATCAATTTGTAACACGCAATGACAAATAATCAATCAAATTTTGCGCTTACCATTAGTTGGGCCGCAACAATTCATCAATGCACAAGAAACAAAAGAGGTTATATCGGAACGTTTTTCCTAAAAAAAGCAAATTAAAAATCTACCCTCTATATTCAAAAATCTATACTTCAATACTAATTGTAAATTTTTTATTTTTATCTCCTTACAGGATCAGGATTCCTTACTCGATACCATGGTTCATACAAGTGATACACCTTCGAAAACCCTACCCCAATATGTAGCCGCCCTATCAGCTGCTGGTGGCGCTTTTGCTGCCGGTACTCTTTTGGGTTGGACATCACCGGCCCAAACACCCTTGCTAGATGGTGAATATGGTTTCCCTGTCAGCGAATCAGCCTTCTCATGGGTTGGTTCTGCCATGACATTGGGTGCCGCTTTCATTTGTATACCCATTGGATTCCTCATCAATTTAATTGGTCGTAAACTGACGATGTTGTTACTCGTGTTGCCATTCACTCTTGGTTGGTGTCTCTTGATTTGGGCCCAAAATGTTGAAATGATGTATGCGGCACGTTTTCTCTTGGGTATATCTGGTGGTGCTTTCTGTGTTACCGCTCCAATGTATACGGGTGAAATTGCGCAAAAGGAAATTCGTGGTACGCTCGGAAGTTTCTTCCAATTGATGATAACGGCTGGTATTTTGTTTGTGTACGCAATTGGAGCTGGTCTCGATGTCTTTTGGATGAGCATTGTGTGCGGTCTGTTGCCGTTGGTCTTTGGAGCTATATTTGTATTTATGCCTGAATCTCCTACCTATTTGGTGAGTAAAAAATAAAAAATTATATATATATTGAAGAGATAGGAAATAGATCAGAAGGCGCTACGGAGAAGTGGCCTAGGATACCTTAGGAAGCAATTGAATTCGGAATCCAGGTGATCTAGAGAAATTTGCAACTTACAGATCTTTTAAGACTCTGAGCAACAAACCTCCTGAGTCCTAGGGATCCGGGTTGATCTGAACAACTCAGAAAACTTCTTGCTAGGGAGACTTTGCGAAAGAGCCTTTGATAGAGCTGGAATAAAAGTTTGGGATGAAACGGTCAATCGATGTGAAGAACCTACGCAGAAGAGTCCTAGGGTATCTTAGGAAACATTATTCGTTTTTAATTTGTGGATCTGGAGATCCATGGTAATCTTTACAACATTGAGATCATGTAAAACTATAAACAACTGAACCTGCTGAGATCCAGGACAGCTTATGAAATAATATGCGTTATTGATCCTGTGGTCCTTGGTGCTCGGAACAACTCAGGGAATTAGTTAAAGTATTAGCCATTGCGGCGAAACACAACTTCGGATTCATGCAAATTCTCGAACTGTGCTGAAGAATGTAGAGGTTCTAAGGTAATCAATTGGCCTAAGAAGAATAATTTGAGCCGAGGTAGAAAATGGCGCCCAATTGGAAACTTTGAAGGAACTGAAGAATTTAAATGGCTATTAAGTTAGGGAAGGTATCATGAAAAGATTTGGTTGAACTGAGGAAGAGACTGGCGCCCAATTGGAAATTTTGAAGGAATTGAGTTGGAGATTCACGATGACTTGAGGATTCTTTGAAGAGCATAGCAATTATATTGCCCTTGGGGAAGCTATTTTTATTTCGATATCTTGGTATTAGATCGAGGGAGCTTCGTCATATATTAAAAACGTTGAAATCTGTGGAGAGGTTCGAAACTTTTAGAAGTAAATGGAAGCGTGTAGCGAGTTGGTGGCAGTGTTCTGTTCATGGAACGTTGGTGACCTAACAAACCTTAGGGATATTGGGATTCATGGACTCTTTTGTCGTACTAGAACTACTTAGGGAGTTTTGGTGATCAGCGGATCGTTAAAGAACTAAAGGTTTCCGAAGGTTCGTCATAGGGAATTTTCTAGCTTTGGACCTTGCTTTTTTAATCATAGCTTTATTAAAAATCTCTTCACTATTCCCATTATTAAAACTTCTAATAAAACTTCTTCTTCTCCTTACAGGTTTCTAAAAATAAGAACGAAAGTGCTATTAAATCGATTCAATGGTTGCGTGGCAAGGAATACGATTACAAAATGGAAATTGAAGAGTTGAAAGAAACCGAACGTAAAATCAAAGAAAATCCCGTCTCGATTGGTAGTGCTTTGACACGTCGCGTCACCATTAAGGCTTTGTGCATCAGTTTGGGTTTGATGTTCTTCCAACAGCTGTGCGGTATTAATGCCGTCATCTTCTATTCCACTGATATTTTCAAGGTAAGTTCGCAAGAAGTTGTAAATAATTTAAGAAGGATGAAGGGAGAGAGAAAGAGGGAGAGTTTGCCATAGATTAACTGATACCGGAGTGTGATTCATTTTGGTGATAAGAAGAAATATTGGAGTGCAGGGTAAACGAATAAACCCACTGAATAAGAGGAAAGTTTTAAACGAGATCATTTTTATATGAATGAATTAAAAAATATAGGTTATCATGGTAATCTCGATAGAGCCTGAATAGGAGATTGTAAGAATTATTGGGAACTAGGGAGCCTTGCTGAAGCTCGGTTAACCAAGGGAGACTTAATAAGTCATGAATTTATAATACACTAAGATACCTAGAAATTTATTACAAGTTATGGAAAGTTGAGAAGAAGCGATCCTCGCTAGCTTAGAATTTCAAGAATCTGGCCTGAAAAATATTTGCGATCTAGGGAACCTTCATATAAGAAGGAATCTCAACGGGTCAGACACTAATTTAATGTGAAGAAAAAAATGTATAGGTAAACGAACTTTGGAGAACTTTGACGAGTTATCAAATCATGGCATGGCAGGAATAACTTATGTACCAGAAAACCTCATTAAAGTACATTCACGACAACTTAGGAAGTCTTACTGGACTAAATAATATCTGTGAGCATAGGAGACCTTGTAATCTATACTATTGTAGTGTTCGTGTAAATTTGGCTAGCAAGAGAATCTTCGTAAATAACATGGGAAAAAATGGATTCATGGTAGATTTGGAGTCTTGGTTAGCTATGCAATGAAAAGCTTGACGCTTTAGGAATCCTTGGTGCTCTAGGGATTCCTGATAAAGAATGGAATTATAGGACCTGATAAGGTATAGAATTCTAGAGAACGATTTTCCATAAGCTGAGCTTAAAAAAGATTTCCAAACGCGTCTGTCTTGTGCGCATCTTATTCAATTTGAAAGATCATGTTCCGAGATGTTGTCTTCTACTTGATCTTTCCATCGGACTCGTGGCCTTCCCCTTCTGCGTGAACCATCACTTGGATGGCTTTTATATGCCGAATGGGGGAATCCACTCTCACAACATGACCTAGCCAACGTAGTCGCTGCAGCTCGATCCGTCTGACTATGTCGATGTCCGAAAATAGATGGTATGGCTCAGATAATTTTTCTCTAAAACACTGCAAGAGCTACCTCATCTGCTTGCGCAATTAGCCATGCTTCAGATCCATACAACAGCACGGGTAATATCAGCGTCTTGTAGAGTGTGCGTTTGGACTGGCGAGAGGTGGCCTTACTTTTGAGTTGCTTACTCAGACCATAGTAGTATCTGTTGGCCAACACTATTATGCTGCCGATTTCAAAACTGATGTTATTAGTTTTGTTTATGGCTGTACGGAGGTGTATAAAATCGTTCAGTCGTTCGTTCCTCGTTAAAGTTATCCTGAATTAGCTTTAAACACCACTGAACGGATTCCCCTGAGGAGTTAGGGTTTCAGAACTCTCAAGCATTTTTATGCATGTGGAGAATTCACAGTTCATTAGCGATAGCCAGCGTGATTACCAGATTTTCTAGATAACTGAGGCTCCATATAGAATTTTCCGGCATCCATAAATCTCAAGCGTCCAAGGATTGAGCTAAGGAATTTTGATCAAGCTATGGAACTTTATTGAAAGAGGAAAATAGTTGCAAACATCGGATATATTACAAGTTTGGGGGTCTTTGTAGTCTGGGTGAAATTTGTGATGGCCTGACGAGCGCGGAACATTATCAGGATTATGTTCAGCTTCAATGAGCATTAGTGTCCTAGGAAATCTAGGGTCTTAGCCACCTAGCGAACCAAAGTTGGAAAAGTAAATTTCTAAGCTATGGTAAAAATTGTTAGTACTGTGATCAACTGTATACACGTATTGATCTTGAGAACTCTGCATATTTAAACACCTTTGTATGAGAATGCCATTTTGTTTTGTTTCAATGTTTTTTTGTGGGTTCAGGAACGGTTTTCGAGTAAAAAGTTGCAAAACTTGTAAAATTAGTAGATTATTTTAGGTTCAGGAACGGAGCTTATAAAACCCTAATTATTGGAAGTAAGGTGGGGATCTGTAGTTAGATAAACAAGTTAATGTCGGACAATAGGGATCTCCTTCCGTCATTGAAAACTAAGGAAGTCTGTATTAAGATAGGGAATCTTGTAAACTGTGAATCTCTAACTGTTGGGAATAACGTTTATAAGTTAGGGTACGAAACTATTGTGAGCTTGAATATTGATGTTGGGTAGATTTATAAAGGCCTTACAAACATGAATCATTATTAGGATAGATACAGTTAGTATACTTAGTAATTATGAACAGTCTTAAAAAGCCTGAAGCATTTGTAAGCTAGAAAATCATGGACGTTTAGAGAACCATCGGTTGTTCGAGAACGTTAGGAAAGTAAATTTCAAGATTACTTCTGTGGGAAACACCTAAAAGATCTTGAGGCTTGGCATATTAAGCTGTCATTATTATTGTAAAATAACAAAGTATAGCGGCGTCCAAAATCAAGTTTTTACTCCGATATTCCTTTATAAACAGACATTTTATACAAAGCCAACTTAATATACCAGGCCTGAATCCTCGTATGTGTTTCTCCCTCTAGGTATAGGCAGAATGTTAGTACAGTGACAACGGTGTGCAATTATTGATCTAAAGAACCCTGCAAAGTTAATCTCGTTTGTGAACTACAACACCCTAATTTTCTAAAGTATACTAGGGTTCTCTAGTTAGATAAACAACAAAATGCCAGGAAATAGGGATCTCAGGATATGAATTCCCCCCTTTTAATAAATCCACAAAGACATAGAAACCGTAAAGACTCGACAAAATGCATTTTGGCAAAATAGTTTATGAAAAAATATCCAGGGGGAATCAAGGTTAACAGAGGCATGTTAAGAATAAAAACGCCAATACGCGAAAATGTGTGAATAAAATGTAAATAAAATTAGAGGCCTGCACTCAAAATATGTATTTTCATGTTATAAGCTTAAGATATAGCATTAAAAACGTTTAATATTGTTCTCTCTGTTGTTATGATATCGTAACAACAGAGGAAAATCCATCTGTTGGAAATTGCTTACGTATCAATTGTCCTATCTTCTTTGAAATCCATCTTTATAGAGTTGTAATAACCTAACATTTTTAAATAATTTCTGGAAACTAATTTTTTATTTTCGTTTTCAATCTACAGGATGCTGATACTGGTATTGATGCCAATCTCTCGACAATTGTTGTTGGTATTATGCAAGTGATTGCCACCTTCGTTTCCGTCATGGTTGTTGATAAATTGGGTCGCCGTCTCCTGCTCTTGGCCTCCGCTTGCGTTATGGCTCTCTCCACAATTGCCATGGGCGTATACTTCTATATGAAAGAAAATGGTGATAGCGTTGAAAGTCTTGGCTGGTTACCCGTCTGCAGTTTGTGTGTATTCATTATTATGTTCTCTATTGGTTTTGGACCCGTTCCATGGTTGATGATGGGTGAACTCTTCGCTTCGGATATTAAAGGTGTTGCTGGTTCCATTGCTGGTACATCAAATTGGGTTTTGGCTTTCATTGTCACCAAGACATTTGTTAACCTCAAAGAAGCATTGGGTAGTGGTCAAACATTTTGGCTGTTCGCTGGTATTACTGTTGTCGGTGCTATCTTTGTATTTGTCTTTGTACCCGAAACTAAGGGTAAAAGTTTAAATGAAATCCAAGAAGAATTGGAGGGTAAGAAGCCGAATCAAAATCAATCGAATGGTAATGCTATTTAAGGAGGAGAAGGAGATAAAGGAATGAAATAATGGATGTAAAGAAGGAGAGAAGTGTTGAAGAATGAAAGAACAAAAGAAAGAGAGCTGCTTTTGGGGTTTTTGTAAAGAAAAAGACATGCTTAAGTTTTGTTTTTTAGTAAAATAAATTGTTGTCAAGGGTTTTGGAAAAAGAGGAAATATATTTGAAATTTAAAAATTACAAAATATTTTAAATTTTCAAATATTTTTTTTCTTCTTTTTCCAAAACACACTATTTTTTTGTATTTGATTACACACAGATATTTAAGTATATTTAGCTGTTAAGTTAAAGAATTTATATATATTACACCAACACCACCACCTAAAACAACAAAAACAAATCCTTACATATTTCTATCCCCACCCAAATGAAAAAAAAACTTTATTTTTAAGAAAAAATATTTAACACCCGGAAAAAAGTATTTGAAAAAAATCAACAACAACAATATGCTCTCTCATTCTTAAAGAATGTATATGTCTCTGCCTCTATATATATAGATATATGTGTGTGTAATCTTTATGTATACCCAATAGATGGCGTCCGATTTTATGCAATATTTATTAGTATGTCCCGCCCGCCTCCTCACAGTAGATTAAAAAAGAAATCCGGAAAAAATTGTCTTGCAAACAATAGTTATAATTCATTCATTGTAATATTGTGTATTTTTGTTTATATATATTACAACAACAAAAACAAATATTTATATTAAGTAAATTAAATTAATGAATGTTATTCTAAAACAACAAAAGAAATCAAAAAATAATGTTATTAACTCAAAATTATTTGCTTATTGTTCGCTTCCCCCTATCCCTAATTTTTGTTGTGTTTTTTTATATTTTTTTTTTTTTTTTTCAAGGAGGAGGTCCATTTATTTTAAAAAATTATATTTTTTATAAGGACCTATAAATTTTCTTTTAAAGGTTGCTCTAATGGACCTCCATGTCCTTTTTGATTATTAATATGTGTGTGTGCTTCTTTTTTTGTAATTCAAATGTTTAAATCAAAAAAAAAAAAAAAAAAAAAAATCGAGAAATTGTTGCTCCATGTAATCCGTTTATATGTTAAAAATAAATAAACCTAACCTCAAACAACAAAAGACTGAAATAATTTTTCGAAATCGTTTCGAAAAATTCAAGTATGTTTGAAGAATAATGCAAAACAAAATAAGTTATTAACACTCTTTTTTAAACTTTTTACGAACGCTATGGGTTTGAAAAAATTATATTTAAAAAAAATATTTTTTCTAACAAATTCAAAATATTTAGTTTCTTTAAAAAACATTCAAAAAACATTTTTTATTTTTTTTTAAATTGAAAATAGTTCTCAGGTCTCCTGAGTTGTGTTTTTCTATAGAAAAAAAATCCTCAGGTCTCATGAGGACTGTTTTTCTATAGAAAAAATTCGTAAAGTCTCCTGAAGTCTGTTTTTCTATAGAAAAAAATTCATCAGGTCTCCTGAGATCTGTTTTTCTACACAAAAAAAAAATCGTCTGGTCTCCTGAGGTCTGGTTTTCTATACAAAAAAATTCCTCAGGTCACCTGAGGTCTGCTCTTCTATAGAAAAAAATCGGTCAGGTGTCCTGAGGTCTGTTTTTCTATAGAAAAAACTCATTAGGTCTACTGAGGTCTGTTTTTCTATAGAAAAAAAATTTCTCAGGTCTACTGAGGTCTATTTTTTCTATGGAAACAAATTCCTCAAGTCTCCTGAGTTGTGTTTTTTCTATAGAAAAAAAAATATTAAGGTCTCCTGAGGTCTGTTTTTCTATAGAAAAAAATGAGTCAGGTACTTGAGTTCTCATTTTCTACAAAAAATGTCTTAGGTCTCTTGAGGTCTGTTTTATTTTAATATTTTTAAATGTTTTTTTAATAAAAATTTTAAAATATATTTCTTAATAATTCAAAAAATTTTGAAATATTTATTTAAAAAACAATTTTGAAATATTTTCTTAAAAAAAAATAAATTATTTTTTATTCCAAAAAATGAAAAAATGGTATTGAAAAATATTTTTGATATTTTTTAAAGAAAAATATTTTATTTTTTTTAATTTTTTTATAATATTTCATACATACAAAAAATAAAAAATATTTCATTAATTTTCGAAAGTAAAATTTATGAAAATATGATTTGATTTTTTTTTTTTTTTGTTTAAAAAAATATAATTTTTTTAAACCCAAATACAATCCTTTTTTAAAAGGCACACATATAACGCACATTTATTTTTTTAACCCTTCTGTGTCCTCTCTCTTTTGGTTTATTTTATTTAAAACAAAATTACTTCAATATTATTATTATAACTTTTGTTTTTAAATGTTAAAAGACTTTTTATTTTTTTAATTATCCACACTTTATTTTTTGCAAATTTTTTAAAGCACAACAACAACACACCTAAAAACAAGCAATATTAATTTATATTTATAAATTGCATCTATTAAAAAAACAAACAAACACAATTACGCATAGCATTTGAACGAATTTGTTTCTTTATTATATTAAAAAAAATAATTAATTAAATTATAACAAAAATTAATTTTCATTTTGTCAATAGCAGAATTTTTCTTTATTACAAAAATGTATACAAATAATTTAAATTAAAAAAATAATTTTCATTTTGTCAATAGCAGAAAAAATATCTAAAATTTGTTTTTATCTTGTATTTGTTTTAACTTAAGTACAAGCCCAAAAAAAAACACAACAACAAGCAACCGCAACTCTTGCATTTTGTTTACATGTAATGATACAATACAAATGTCTCTTAAAAATTCAATTGTTTTATTTTTTATATGCATATACACATATTTATTTTTAATTAATTTTTACTATTATTATAATTATTATTATGTTAAAATAAATAAAATCAAAAAGAAAAATCACATCATCATTAATTAATGTTTTTATATATTATTTTTAAAGAAAATTATTATTATTACAGAAAAAAAAAATAATATTTTAATTAAATAAATTTTATATTTTATACACCACACATAAATATTTTCAGTTGTTTTTATTGGTTTGAATATTTTTTATTAAAAAAATTATTATTTATTTCACTTAAAGAGAAAGAAGCTTTTGTAGACTGGTAGTCTTAGAGAGAAGACTTTAGAAATAATAACCCATTAAGGAAAGCTTTAAAAATTGCCTCCTTAATAATCTTCAGAGACTATAAAATAACTCTGTCATATGAGATTTCCTTGAATTTTAAAATAGTTTAGAATTCTTCTATGAACCGAACATCTTTCCAAAGGCCTTTTTACGGACATAATAACCCTTTAAAGACGTTCAATGAATTAGAAGGACTTTTGTGTGGGATTTTTTATAAATGGAAGATTAATTCAGTGGTATTAAATGGTAGATCCAAAAATCGATTATGCAAAATTTAAACCTCGTTTGTGTTTCCTATAACTTTGGGCCTACTGCAGAAATTTAAATAAATATTGGAGTCATGTTAAATGTATAATTTTATATTTTTCAAAAAAAAAAAAAAAATTTTTAAATTTTGTGGGCCATATTTACGCTTTCCGACGACACAAATTTCGTTAAAATGCAAATGGTCTTCAATAACTGATGTGCATGATTCCCGTCAATAGATGGCGCTGGTGACAGGGGAATCTAAAATGTCTGTGATTTTCCGCTAAGATCACAAACACATGTCGTCATCGCCATAGTAGATCCCAACAACCATCATTCAAAATTTAAGCCTCATATATTTTGACATTTTGTGTCTGATTTGAATCATGTCCATTAATAGATGGCGCTGACGACGCGATCTTAAAATATGCGTACCTCATTTCTTTTTTTTTTTTTGTATCGCAGATATTGAAATGAAAATGGTGTATACTTAAATTTTAATTAAATAAATTTATAAAATGTCCTGTTATTAAATATGAAATTGGATTTAAAGAATGGCTTTTCACTTTTCTCTTACAGTGGCAACCCCGGTAAATCCACTTTAAAACTAATTACAATGAATATATTGTAAGCTATCCGTTATGAAGGATTCCAGAAAAATTTAATTTTCTGTTAACATGGCAACTCTGTCAAAAAATCTTTGATACTCTCGGATAGTATATATCCATCCTAAGCTATTAATGTCTGTATTGTTGTCTTTTCGGTCGCTCAATACAGAATGGCGTCCTTTCTTTATTTCATCATCCATTGTTCTTAAATCTAGTATACATAAGCGGTTATTTAAATGATCGTAAGTATTTGGTATTCTCTACAAACTAATTCGGTTATTATTCACAATAGCTGGGTTCCTTATTCTATTCTACTACAGCTCGGCCAACCTGACAATAGTGACCGCCCCGGTCACTTGGGGTTAAATTACTTATTCTAGGGATTAATATATTTGATATGAGTATGTTAAAAACTTAAACTACTTAGGCTAATATATATACACTATGTACAATGTGGGTCAGAGCAGCTCTGGGTGCTTTCATCCGGTTCATCCGTCTTCCACAATCTTATGTTACAAGCTTCGATCACTCCATCATAAGGAATTTGGGTGATCTGACAATTTTCGATGTCTTTGACTACGTATCTATCATTTGGCAGCACCTTGGTTATGACATAAGGACCCTTAAATTTTGGCAAAAGCTTTTTGTTAACTCCTATTGTTGTGTCTACATTCTTTATTACTACGAAATCTCCTATTTTGAATGAGCTGACTCTATAACCCTTTTCCATGGACTTTTGTATGGACTCGTTATACTTTTGTGTCTTTGTAATAGCAGCCTCTGCTTTCTCTCTTATTTCATCAATACCCCCCCCCCCCCCCTATTTATTCCAAAGTTATGAATCTACAATACAGATGATATGTTTCGAAATTTGACAGCAATGGCAAAAACTTGACGTCAGCGCCATCTATTGAATGGGTAGATTAGAGAATTGATTATGCTAAAATTTAAATCTCATTTCTTTTTCCTACAACTTTTGACCTACTGTAGATATTTAAATAAAGTTGGTGTTATATGAAAGGTACAAT